AGGAGGTTGAGCTGATGTGTCCAAAGAAGAACTTCGTAGGAATGGACGTGTTTTAGTTGGAAGAGAGGAAACAGAAAGACTGCCAGATGGCAACTGAGATGCAGGTTTTGCTTGACCAAAGACCTCTCCAGATACAAAGTATGCACTTGAAACTTGATCCATCATTGGAAGGGCTGTTCCAGAAGGTGGTTGATCATGCACAGTTTCAGATAGGCTGGTTTTTGTTAGTTCAGCCTCAGACTCCTTCCTTTTATCTCTGTAAGCTTCCAAAACTTCCAGAATAATTCCATTCCCAGTTTCCTTCTTGGCTTTCTTCACTGGGCCTTTTTCAGACATAGATAAGTCAGTGGAAACAGTGTCAGCAATTAGCCCCTTGGGTTTAGTTTCTTCAGATTCTAAGATAGAAGGTGTCATATCAGATAAGGAAACTGCAATATGATCAGCACTAGTTCTACCATCTGGTATGGTAGTCTGATCTAAAGATATACTTATTTCTTCTGGATAGTCTATAATGCTGCCTGGAAAATAGGTTGATGACAAAATCATCTCAGAATCTTCTAATTTAGTCACTATGTCTACTGGCTCTGTATAAACTGTAGTTATGCTATCCAGGGTAGTAATGGGTGAGGAGCTATCTGTGGTACAAACTGAAGAAACCGATGATGTGAGGGAAGGTGTATCAGAGGGTGGGACAGATGTAGCACTTTCTGAAGCCTCAGAGTAGGTCAAAATCAGCGATTCATGGGCAATTATCTCTTGAATTTCTCTTGTGTAATCGGTTACATATTCATCTTCAATTTCCTCTGTTGAAAAATGCTGGGTTATTTTAACGTCTGGAATAGAGAGTGTTGCACTGCTGGTTGAATCTGTAAGAGATGCTCCTGAAAGAATACTTGATGTCAAAGATTCATCGGGCAACCTATCAAAGTCCACAGTGGGCTCCGTCATGTCGTCCCTGACGGGGGGCTGGGCTGTGCTGGATTCAGGTGTTAACTGCATCTGTTGCCTCTTCATGAGCTCTTCATAGGCAGCATCAGCATCTAGTAATTGTTTTTCTTCACTGGTAGAAGTTACCATACTACCCAGATCCACTATCTCATGGCTTTCTGGGATGATATAAGAACTTGAAACAATGTCTTCTTGAGGCACGACAGAATGTAAGCTTTCTAGCTCATAAAACTCTTTCTGGAGGTCTGTAATTTTCTGCATAGGATCATCATAAATCTGTTCTGGAAGTCTTATTTTTTGCTCTCTCCCTCTCTGCTGCATAAATCCATTTTCGTCTTCTTGCCTTGTTAGCAGGCTGCCATCAACCGAACCATTGTATGTGTCCTCTACTAAAGATTCATAAATGTAATCCTCTATTAACATCCCACCATACAAAGGCTCCTTTTCAAACATTTCATCTCGTTCATTTGCAGCTGGAAAAGCTTTATATTTGTGGGGTTTATGCATCATTTCTTCATATATCTCCTCAGCACTTTTTAATGCCTTTGGGCCACCTTCTTTCTGCATAATAGCATGCTCATCTGTTGGTGAGTATAAAGACACAGCTGTGGGTAATTTATAAACTTTTTGCACCTCTATTATTTTTTCTGGGCTTATTTCAAAACCCTCTGGATCTGACTCTATGCTAGGTGAATATTCAGAACAAGACGATCGATGGAGCTCCTCCATTTCTGCAGCTTGACGCAATTCTTCTGTTGGAGATGCATCTTCAATGGGAGAGAGATTACTGGGTGGTGTCTTCGGTCTTTCCCTCCTTCTCTGAGCTCGAAGTTCATCTTTGTCTTTCTTTGATTTTTTACTAGAACTCTTTCTTTGCTGCTGTTCCAGTTCCCGCTGCTTTTCTTGCTCCTTCAATAATTCTTCTTCCTCTCTCAGTTCTTCTTCCTCTGAGGAATCTTCAATTGTAGGTAAAAGAGGACCGTGTGACCTGTGCCGAGCTTTGCGTTGCTGTTTGCTCTCTCCTTTTTTGTGACTTGGGCTACTGTCACTGTCCTCATCGAGCGATGACACTGATGTAGGGGATGTGCCAGGAGTGAAGCTGGAAGCATGAAGACTAGAAGATCCTTCCCCCCTGGACCTATCTTCTGGAGAGTCTGTCAGGCTTTCCATTTCTAATTCTGGCTCTTCATCAAAGTACAGTGTTGTTTTTTTCTGGGTTGACTCTGCAGAATATTTGTCTGCTATTGTGCTGTTGAGCTCGATGGTTTTAAAGCGACGTAGCCCTCCTCCTCCAGCAACTACAAGTTCTTCACCCTCCTGACTTTTAGTTTCTCTGTATTTAATTTCAGGACTTTCATCAAACGTCTCATCATCTTCATCATGCCACGAATGGCGTCTCCCCGCGTCGTCGTCAAAGCTTGTGCTGCTTTTTCGAGTCAGTCGCTTGTGTTTCCCTGCCGCGACCTTCCCTTTCCCTTTCGTTTCTTCCTTCTTCTGGCTCTCAATACTACCACCAATCTCTTTGAGCTGTTTCCTAATGAACTCGTCATCTTCAGAACCTGAAGCATCTTCATCAGCGCTCATTTCTATGATCTGTTTTCGGATAAAGTCCTCCTCTTCTCCCGATCCCTGGCTGTCTTCCTGTTTATACTCATCGCTGCTCGAAGAACCGACGCTAGTTCTCCGTTTTCTTTGTGGGACAGGTGAGTTTTCACTTTCACTACTGTCTTCAACTGAATCGTAAGGCTGTCTTCTTGCAGCTACGTCATCGACAAACTCCGACTTTTCTTTGGGGTCCTTCCTGGAAGGAGCATCTAGCTGGGCATCTTTTGTAAACATATCTTTTTCTTCTTGACCCTCTTTGAGCGTCTCTTCTGAAATTGTTGTATCCAGGGTTTCAGTTAAACTCTGAGCTTTCTGCTCATCCTTCAGATGCTCGGGAGAAACCTGCTGAGGCTGTGTTTTCTTTTCTGACCTTTCTTCAACAAGCGTACTTGCCTGGGCTTCCAAAATGGACAGGACTGTACTTTCCAACTTGGCCAAATCCGAGGGGCTGGAAGGGCTGCTTTCTTGTGAAAACGAGTCCTTTTTGAGTCCCTTGAGCAAATCCTTCTCATCACTTGGAATAAGACTTGGAATTTCACCAAGTGAACCTGATATGCCATCAGAAGAATATCCTGTGTCACTCAAACCTTGTGGGCTTTTCGGCTGTTGAGAACTTGAGGTGTCTGATTTGTCATCTTCCTTTTCCTAGCAGGGAGGAAAAGATACAGGAAAACTTAACATGATTAAACTAATAAAATGGCCTCTCCATTACTCCCAAATAACTATTATGAACAGCAAAAATATATAATTTTTTTTCAACTGTAAGCCAGTATTGTCTTAAATAAATCTTTGAATGGGCAAAAAATGAAAACAGTTAATCCATATTGATTAAGGTTAGTTTTCATTTAATCTAAGATTAAATGTCAATTCAAAATGACATTTTTTAGTCCGTTAATGCTCTATCTTTTTACATTTCAATGCCATTTTCCTTCAAAAACATGATTTTTCTTTCTCAGTAAATTTACTTTGGGATAGAATTCAAATTATTAAAGAAAAAATTTAATGATATGTTTCCACTGACATAATTAATACCTTGGGATTATGAAGACAGACAAAGAAAGAATCAGAGGATGGGTTTTTACCTAGCTACAAGTCTTTTGGGATGTCGGAAAATTAACTTAACAGAAGTAAGCATATATCAACTGGGGCCACACTGATATCTGCCTCACCTACCACAAGGATTTTCTTTTTCTTAGAGAGATTCAAACAAGACACTGTTTTTGAAAGACATTTTAAAAAACGTAAAACTTATAAACATAAAACATAAACTATTTACTTGGTATTGCAGTTAACATTACAATGCCATATCACTTGAAAGGAATGTTTAGAAATTGTAAACTTTGTAAAAGTAACACAATAACTGGTCTGACTTATGGCTTCAGTAAAAGGGAAATAGCTATTATTTTTGTAAGGTTGTTAAGCACATTAATCTTCAGGATCTCACCTCAAAGATATTTAACAAATATCACTTATAAATGTCTTCTGACTGAAAATACTTGTATTTTTATCTTCACAGTATTTCAAAGTCAGCTCCCTTCAACCAGCACAACAGCTAACTTTGTGAATGGACAGATGGGCTTTCCAGGGAGCTGGGACACAGTAGACAAGTCACAGGCTTCAACTACTGCTTTCCTATGATAAAGCCACGATGACAATTTGATTCAATCAGAGAGGCAGGCCTTAAACAAAAATGTTAAACATAGAGACTTTTTGCATAAGTCCAAATTTTAAAGAGCTGTGAGCAAAATGAAACCCTGCTGATCCAGTTAGTTTCCATGTTTAAAGGAGAACATCAGAAAAACCCCACATCCCTAGGTGAGGAAGAGCTCAGGTGAAGAGCGGCACAAGGGCCCAGGCATGCTCTATTTGACGCTGGCCTACGGGGTCACCTCGATTCCACTAAGTCTGTATCCTGAACTGACCATCGCAGTATTTTCAGTGGGTGTGTGGGCACGGCTCCTCCAACCCATCTACAGCCAAAAGGAACAGATGTCAGGCTGGATAACAAACAAACATGCAAAAACATCTTCTTTCCTGCCTTCCTTCCCTCCTGCCTTCCTTTCTTCCTTCCTTCCCTGTCTCCTCCTGCTTCTCATATTCCCGTTACCTACATAGTTCTCAAATATAAAAGTCGTTGGCTTGATATTAACTTTACACTCATTTTCATCTCAATACATGTCTTTATTATGTATGGTTAGAGATGTACCTTGAACAAATCACAGAGTAAAATGCTTTTGCTGAATTTGCCAACAAGACTTAATTTAAAAAGACAGTCTGATATATTTTTCACAACTTTAGTCGAAAAAGTAATGTCTACTCTTTGGGTTACCAAGAATTAATTTCTCTGCACCATTTCAGCTGTCTTTGCAGGAAAGGGTTACTTATCTGCAATTATGAGACTATAGTAATAGGGCTAATGAGCCCCCAACTAACGTTGGATCCTTTTTCTTAAGAGCTACACATTGAAGAGGTAAACAAGGGAAAATCTTCTAATGAAATCTCTCTGGATGGTCACAGTGGAGGGATATTTCCATCTCCTCAAATCCCACAGAAAGCCAGAGGACATTTTTTTTACTCCAATATGCTTTCTATGTCTTTCCTTGTCTTCTTTTCCAAGCTTCACTAAATGACAATAAACACCATGAACACTGGGGTGGAGTATCTAAGCTCCTTGTGAGTAAAAGGGCAAGAAAATGATCTTTCATAATCAAAGTTTGATGGTGTCATTTGCATTCTTTATTTTGTGTCTGCATATATTATAAAGCAACAATATAACAAAACTATACATGTATAGAAGGAATGTTACTATTGTTACATATAACAACTCATTGAGTATAATAAAGGATAAATTATAATTTTATACAACAGATAACGAAAGTTCTAGTGACATTTTACAAAAATCAGATTAGGACCAGACATACATAATGTAACAAAGGAAATTGAGATACATTAGACAGAAGACTGACACACATAAATAACAAAATACCTACCCTACCATCCCCTTTATGTAGCCTTTCACTTTCTGTTCATGTTTTCCTTCTTTCTTTAGTAATATGTTCTACCCCCTTCTCCCTCCTACCTCTATCTTCTTGGTCTCCTTTCTCCATTCTCCTCACAGGATTGATTCAGAAAGTATCTATGATGATTTCCCTCCCTAAGGACTCCTCTTCCCCATATTATAGGGTGGCAAAAAATCTAGGAAGGTTTTGCTCTACAGGTTTGTGGGTCTAAGATAAAATGTTTGGTGTGTTTAATAAGGAAATAAAGCTAAGTGACAAAAAGGCATTTGGCTAGACTATGCAGAAAGAACACTTGGTCATGTCCTTATTGTACCATAGTATGCTGAAAAAATTCATAATGTCAATTTTTATCATACTAAGTAGCATAGGTATAAAGTTCCCTGATGCAGGTGAGTGATCTGCTCCTTCATTATACTGCTAGATTGTTAATCATTAGATCATATACTAACCAGGCTCTTTGCCTCTTTAAGGCACCTACACATTCATCTTTTCACCTGTTGCTAAAATTCAAACAAAAAGTTTTTCTTCATATACAGAGATCAGCACGCTGAGGTACTCATCTGTCCATCCATTTATTCCTCCTGTGCTATCCACTCTCCTTCCTGAAATACCCGGTGTGATTACTAATGCAATTTGTACCCATGTAGGTTCACTGGTCTATACAGATTTAACATTGCAAACACCTGCTTCACAAATAACATTTCTTAACACGGGAATAATTTGATCAAATATGAGAGTAGATGAAACCGATAAGAATGTAAAACACAGTGTGTAAGTTAGGTTTGATTTTCTCTAATTATTCAAACTTCAAATGGATGTCTAAAGAACTATGATCAAAGGATTTATGTGATGAAGGAATAACATATTATTTTCTCCCAAATATCTCTAGAACTAAAAGATTGAGAGTTTTCTCTCAGTTGCTTCAAAACTGTGTCGCTACTCAGTAACCTATTAGGATTTAATGAAGTGAAAAGATTCAAATGGCTCTTTTAAGTTTATACATATATATTAACAAATATACATATGTGTATAAATATCACTGATTTTTCTTATTTTGTATTTTCTTCATTTGAGTAATTAGATGTTAAAATTAATTATCCATTTCATTTTTTTCAAAATACATCTAGAATGACCTCTGAAATTATTACATAAGAATAAAATTCCAAGTATCTACCATTTGCAAGATAATTTTGTTTGTCATCTCAGATGGAGGCAGTGAGTGGGAACAGCCATAATTTAAGCATATCTTTTTTTTCAATAGCAATGTTATTTTTCACCTGCCCTGAAGAACACATTTTCCCTGTATCTTTCTAAGTACAATTTCCATTAGACTCTATTATACTGACTTTTATTTTTTATTATGTATTATGCTTTTCCCATGTATCGTATTATGGCTACTTGAGACTAGGGTCTATGTAAATGAAACAATCACTTAAAATTTCCAGAGGCTAAGATTCATATATTTTGTACTTGCCAGTATAAAGCAGAGAGTAGAGAATTCCTGTTTTTCCAATATTCTTCTGCAGAAAGGCAGTGAGTTGAGACCCATTTGAAGCTCTGTCTTATTTTGAGACATCTCTAGTGGTGAGGAATATGCCAAGACGCATCTGCACAGCCCCACTTACCTGCCCTTTTCCCAAATGAAACATTGAGTCTTCCATGTTAAAGGTAAATGGAAGGTATCTGAATATTATTGGGGTTAAGAACTGAATTCCTGGTTAAATATAATACTGTACAAAGAAAGGGTGCAATATTAAGTTGTTGGTTAATTTCCCCCAAGTCATTTATTTTAATGGGCCAAAGTAAAACAATAAATGTAGTATCTTTAATCATTTGTAGAATGTTTCAGTCAAAATGGTTTGCTAGTCTGAGTGTTCCAATACTCTAAACAAGATTAAGTCCATAAAATTCACTGAGCCTGGAGAGAAAAATCAGAAAGTCCCACCTACATGGCAATCCTTTTCAGTACAAAAAAACCTATTATTTTTCATCCTATCTGATTACGCTGCTACAATAAATATGTGTGTGTGTGTGCGTGTGTGTATGAAACTTGAATGCTAACCCCTGGGTCATATTAACCAGAAATAAAAGTTTATGCTAATGGGTGTTGACATTTTGGCTTTTATCAGGAAAGTTACAGTGTTTTGATGTATGTATCAAATGTAGATAAGCTGTATTCTTTTTAAATATATAAAAGAGAATTCTCTAGTAACATGTAATTTTAAAATATTAAGCTAAAAAAGTAAAGAAAAATGTACCTTTCAAATTATTTACTATATTTCAGAATAAATTTTAATTCCACTTCACAAACTCATTTTGAAAGACAGGAATGAATGGGGAAAAAATGATATGGCAACAAAGAAATGCAAATGATATACTATAATAATATGAGTGACACAAATGACAAATGAATTAATAAAATAAATATATAAACAAAGTAAAAAATTACAGAAAGTGTTTGGGATTATAATGGGAGCTGCCAAGATATATGTGATTATAATAATGAAAAGGCAATATGTCAAAAGTATCATGGGAAAGAAGCATTGTGTACAGTGTTTAAGAAGCTCAGCTTTTATAATCAGGACTGAACTATAATCTTAGCTTTGCTGTTTCCCAGCTATGTGA